CAGTATTTACATGAAATCCTCCAATCCTTGCTCTTTCTCTCATCTACTTATCAACCTAGAAGATGCTTGTACTCTGCCTCTTTTCCAGATCTTTCATATATTGGCTTGCTCAATAATTGTCATTGAAAAAAATAGGAATTATGGTCTTTAAAAAAAAAAAAGGAATGTAAACTTTCTCTCCTCTTCCCTCAGCCCCCTGGGTTACACCTTAGAAAATAGGTTGATTTTTATTTTTCTTAATATCCAGTTCTTGGTCTCCTCATCCTTGTTTCTTGAACGGTGCAACAAAGCCTCAATAATTTGGTTCTGTGAATGGTTCCTTTGGGGTCTCGGGTGCAGCAGGTTCCTCTCCTGGAACCTGTTTTGTGTGACAGCCTAAGCAGGCAACCTCCCTGGGTCCACAATCAGCCAGCCAGAGTTGGGTGCAAGTGGCACCTTCGATCTCACAGTGGCCCAGCAGCGCCATCTGGTGGGCCTTGACTGCCCTCTGCAAAGGCTGCCTGAGACCAGCCAGGCGGTGAAATGCAGTCCAAACATTTTAGCTACCCCTGTAAGCCGTCAGTCATACTTAGAAATAATTTATTAAAATATGTCAAATGTTGTTTTCCCTACTTTAGATTTCTTATTGAGGAGCAGCATCTATAGTTTTAAGAGGAACTTTTGAATAACCAATTCTTATTTCACATGCATTTGTGAAAAATAGAATTATGTAGGCCAAGTAGTACATCAGAAGATTTAATTTTTGTCGAGGTTGATTTTTTATATATTTTCTTTTTTTAAAAAAGAAATAAAGACAGTATGAAGTCTTACCACTCAGAATGGAGCTCTTGGAAAACAGTACAGTATCATCTGGTAGCTTGTCAGAAACGTAGGCTCTCCGTCCCTGCTCCAAATTAGCTGAACCAGAGCCTGCATTTCACCCACAGTTCAGTCCTGGTTGTGCATGAGAGGTTGCTCTGCACAGGCGGCAAGAATCTGATGGAAGACCTGTGTTTTACCGCAGCATCTCTGTCTCCTTACATATAGTCCCAGAGACCCATATGGTGAGAGATTACAAGCTGGTTCTCCTGACTTGTCTCCCATGGAGGCTGCTGAAGAACAAGTTAGCGCATACATAAGGCTTATTTTGTACATTGTAAAAACCTATGGGGAATTATGGAAAATTCATATGTTTCATACTCAGCTATCAGAGTCTTGGTTTTATATAAGTACATATCATCAGCAGAAGGAATATTTCTTTAAATATAGGCTGGATAGATTTCATCATGTCTTCCAAAGATCTTGTTCAGACAAGTCTTCCCAGAGCTCAGAATAAGAAAATCATCTTCCATCTTTCTTAATAAGACCTTTCACATTTACCATCCTGTGGCCCCAGAAATATTGCCCCTGTTGCGCCTGGTAAGGGACACAGCAGGTGCTTGTTGATTAAACTACTAATTAGCTCTCTGCGTGGCCTGAACAGTCGCCTGATGTCCTTCTCACTAATCGTGCAGTTTATGATAATTACATTATTTGCATCATTAGTAGCTTCACATAGCTACATGAGGACTCAATTGTCTTACTAATATGTCAGATATTCATTAGAGCACAGACTCCTGATGATGGAGAAATCCTTTGGTAGTGTATAGATAGAAGTGAGTGAGACCATCTGCTTTTTACAAACACTATAGCCTTTACCTTGAAATCTGGAGGGGAGGGGATAAAGGAAAGAATGGCAAGATATTATTCTCTTCTCCTTGTGTGAAGTTGAAAAGAAAGATTATTAGCAAGAAGCTATTGGACAATAATTAGGTGAAATTTTAAGAAAACATAATGTCTAGAATTGATAAGAGATAGTTCCAGATACTTGGGGGAGGGCAGAGAGAGGAGAATTGCAGTTCAAAACCAGCCAAGGCAAAAATAAATCAGTGAGACTCCATCTCTCTGGGCATGTCTGTAGTTCCAGATGCTCAAGAGGTAAAGGCAGCAGGATCAAAGTCAGAAGCTAGCCTGGGCCAAAAAGCACAACCCTTGTCTACAAAAACTCTCCACTAAAAACAAAAAGACTGGGGCCATGGATCAAGTGGTAGAGCACCCTAAGTCCTGAGTTTAAGCTCAGTACTAAAAAGAAAATCAACAAGAGATATAAACATTTGTGCTTCCTCAGTAGTTATCTGTCTATCTGTCTATCTATCTGTCTGTCTGTCTTTTGCCAATGCTGAGGCTTGTACTCAGGACTTCTTACTCAACTTTGAGCCACTTCTGCACTTCCAGCTTCCTGCTGATTAATTGGCGACAAGTCTAGAAGATTTTTCTACTCAAGCTGGCTCTGAAACTCAATCATCACATTTCAGCCTCTGAAGTAGATGAGATTATAGATGGGAGTCACCAGTGCCTGGCTTCCAATGTCTCTTTTCCCCTAAGAAATGATATTTTTGACAAACAGTGAAGTAGAGCATTGAAAATAACTTACTCAGTTTGCCATGAAACTGAGGTACAGAAATAATCTATTCAAATTAGGTTAAAATTTTACATTGCCTTTGATTTATGAAATTTGTATGGGCATTGTAATTGACTATATACAGTAAAATTTATACTGTTTTATTTTTATCTAATTCATTCCATTAAAAATATTCTATTATAGCTAAGAATATACCCAGCTATTTCAAAGAATTTAGAATGCCAATTCTTCAAAATTATTTTCCTTAAAGTTAAAATGTAATTATAAGGTAGGCATTGGTGGCTCACACCTGTAATCGTAGCTACTCAGAAGGTTGAGATCTGAGGGCTGTGGTTCAAAGCCAGCGCATGTAGGAAAGTCTGTGAGACTCTTATCTCCAATTAACCACCAAAAATTAAAAATGGAGCTGTAGCTCAAGTGTAGAGCACCAAATTTGAGCAAAAATGCTAAGAGGTAGAGTACCAGCCTTAAGCTCAAGCCCCAGTATGAGCACAAAAATGTAATTTTAATAACTTATACTGTAAATCAATAATATAGTACTGTATTTATTATAATAAAGTATATTATAATAGTTATACTGGGCTGGTAGTATAATGATCACTCATGCCTGCCCATATAAGGACTGGGTAACATTCAATTCCTCTCTGACAGCCTAACAGTCCTAGAGTGCTGCCCAAGACATTTCATGACCATATAATAATAACAGTATTCAAGAGCCACAGCTCTCCATTTTCATTGTCTTATTCCACTAACATTTTACCTTAAGAATTTTTGAATGAAGAGAAAAATTGCCAGAATAAAACATAGTACCCTAATAGACAGCTAGAAGCACTACTTGCTAATATGTTTATATTATCTTTTTCCCAGTCCAAGGACAAGGACCTACATTTATATAACCAACAGTAAAACAACCAAATCCAGGGAAATGGCATCCTGGTCCAGGGCTCTCATGTAGGACACAGTCCTCATCGAATCCTGCCAGTTGACACAGTAAGGCCTCTGCACTCCAGCCCCACCTTGGCCCCAGGTTTGGTATCATTCCTTATGTTGCTTTTGGCTGTTGCCCCTTTGGGGGCCCATTAAACTGGAGCAGTTCTTTGGTTTTTCTTTGCCTTTCAAGACAGTAATGATCTTGAAGCCTATAGGCTAATGCTTCTTCACAATAATATGGAGATCAGGCATTGGGGTCATAAATACTAAGAAGTGTTGTGTTGCACTGCAGAGCATTGTGCTTGTAGGCAGTGTGGTGCTGGTCTGTCCCATCATTGGGATAGTATCTTCCGTCCTTTGGATAGTGTGCTATGCTAGATTCTCCCACTGTAATTAATGAGCAATCTCTAGGGTGTATTTTAAAATGTCATTTCTAGCCCATTTAGTATCCATTCTGCCTGAATCAGCTATTAACTGATTTGGTTGAAAATGGTGATTTTGAAAGTGATAAAGCTTCAGTCTTGAGTATAATAGCCAAGTGAGAACAAGAGGCCTTGGGTGGTTCCTTTCTGACTCATTTATTCCTTTGCACTTACTAGTTGGAATTCTATCCTAAAAATAGTGTTATCTTCTTCTCCTTTTATGTATGTATATATATAGGTAGATAGGTAGGTTGGTATGCATTTATGTATGTACCCATCCATCCATCCATCCATTTATCTATACATCCATCTTTGTGAGTACCAGCAAGGGCTTACAGGTTCTTTTTATTCACTTGGTTATTGCTCATTATTTTCATTCATTTTGATGTTCATATTTTTCTCTGTCCATTGGGAGCCCCTTCAGTTTAATCCCTGTGTTTGTTTAACATGGCCTATCAGTTTGTTTCATTTATTCTTTATCTCTTAGCAGATAGACAGCTACACAGATCAATAGACAGATACATAGATACATACAAACATAGATGAGAGACACATAGATATATAGAAAAGTAGATATGGATATTAATATTATTAGCAAATGAGAGAGTTTTATTCTTACAACAAAGTATTTTGAGCAACTGTTATGTTCCACTTAACTGTCTGGGAAAACCCAGACAGTTAAATTGACCTTTACCATATAGTATGGGAAATTATTATAATAATGAGTATTTGTTCCTTGGAAGCACCAAGGTAAACCTCCAAACCCCACTGGGTAAAGAAAGAGCTCAGAGAGAATGCACAACACTCTGGACATGAAAGATGATTGTAGCTGGGAAGCATGTAACTCTCTGAAGAACCGAGTACATTGAAGTCCAGTACTCTGTGTGTGAGTGTGCTGGTGGGGGGTGTGGGGGAAGAAGAAGCTGGAGAGGCAGGCTGGGGCCTTGTAAAAGACCTTGCCCAATTATGGTTTTGGATTCATCAACTTTCAACTTCACCTGCACGTTCACATCGCCTGGAGAGCCTGTGGAGAAAACACCAGGGGCCAGTCTCAAACCACTTAAGTTGGGGCGGGGGGTGTAGGGTCCATATATTTCCATTTCTATTCCTAGTTTCTGGAAGATTTTTTTTTATGAAGAATGGTGTCACATGTCACAGAGCTAAACCCTTAAAACCAAACTTTAACAAATCATCACTATATTTTGTAGGATTTTGAACTCAACAATGAACTGAAGATGAATGTCCTAAATTTACTAGAAGAAGTTTTGCGAGACCCAGACCTTCTTCCCCAAGAAAGGAAAGCCACAGCAAATATCCTGAGGTAAAGACAATCCTGCTGATTGAATTGTGTCGGCTCATTTGTGCTCCGTTTGTAGAAAATAAGATCCTATATCAAAGCAGAAGGATAAATCTTAGGTTCCTGCAGGCAGCAAGGATTCTGTTCTCACCAGTGAAGTACGATTTATCTTCTTCTCTTTCTTGGGGGCAACTTGGGGCCTGCTGTTATTGGAGGGACTTGGACCAAGTGGCTTCACTCCTGTGGAGTGCATCCTCTCCTCTTTATGTGTACAGATGGTTCTGGCAATCTGTGTGTTAAAGGAAAGGAGCCCTGAGAACCCCTTCTGTGAATTTGTTTTCCTCCTGTGGCTTTGAATTGTTTATCATTCGCTTCTGTTTTAGGGTAAGACGTATTTCCATGCTATTCTCTTTCCTCAGTTTCTTTCACTGACTGAGCATCATTTCCCCCTGTCAATTCCTTGGCTTAGACTTGCTATATCAGGTAGGTTATATTATTGGGTGGAATTGTATAAAGCATAACCCTACACAGTGTTGAACCTGGGATATCCTGTTAGAGATTTGTGTGTGTGCATAGTTGTTAGACCCAATGTCTCAGCAGGTAAAAGGCTTTACCTTAAATGAATTGGTGGGTTCATATTCCTGTAGTCTAATTTACATGAAGAGGGCAGCAGCCATCAGTGACTTCATGCAGTTGTTGGTGGATAGCTTCACAGCTCCCCCACAAAGATATCTGATTGCCTGGAGGGTATCTTCTAGGACGTGGAACTCCTTTGCAGTTCAAGTTTCTAGTTTTCCCTTTTCTTCTAATCCTGGAAATGATCCCTTATTTTCCTCCAAGCTCCGGTACATTGTCTCTCTGTAGTGTTATCCAGAATGCTGGGCATGGAAGAGAATCTGTTTCAGTTGAGTCTACCAGGTCTGTAAAATCTCTCTTTAAAGCAGCAATGACAGTGGGCCAGATTTTGAGTTGTGATGTTTTCATAGCTGGTTTATAAGTCATTTTTAGTCCTTATCAGCTGAAAATCCCATACCTAAACCACTCTTTGGAAGAGGGGTTATTATGGATTGAATTGTATGCTCCTCTTCCCAGAGTGACCTCTGTTTCATCAAAATGGGACATAATGGGTTGGAGATAAAACTATTGCAGATATAATTAGATAAGTTGAGATCATCCTGGAGTAGGGTGAGCCCCTAATCTAATGTGATTGGGGTCCTTAGAAAGTACAGAAACACAGACAGAGGGGGTAGTGGGTGGAAAGAGATGGAGGAGGAGCCACAGACTGGAATGAAAAGCCAACAGCTGAAACCAAAGGCTGCTGAAGCTAGAAGGCAAAAAAGAGATCGCCTGTAGGTCCAGAGGCAGCAGCCCCAGTGGACAACTTGAATCTCAGATTTCTGTCCAGGCTTAGAGAGAATCTGGTACGTTTCTGTCGCTTCTCATCACTCAACGTGCGGTATTTTGTTAGGGAAGCCAGGGAAACTATGGGAACCTTCCAGGGAAACACCTAAATAAGCTTAGGTAGTCCATTGCAGGGTCTATTTTCAGATTTAAAAATTACAGGTACACACTCAAGTAAAACCTGGTTTCTGGGAATGAATAATTATATCTGAAAGCAATTTCTGTACCCTTTCTCTTCATGTGCATATCGTGTTGTGTTCTTTGTAGTTAAAACACTGAGATTTTAAAACTACCTTGTAGAAATTTGTGCCCTTAAGGACATTTGCCTGAATAGCTGTCAGGGAAATCAGGACTAGGAAGACCTTTCAAGACTGGCAAGTATGTTGGCCAGAACACCTCTGCCAGACATGACTAATTCATCCTCAAAGGTTTCAGTCTACTCTAAGAGGTGACTTCAGAAACCTGTTAAGTGGCTGGAGATTTATATCATTCCAGGCATGTTTACAATGGTATATTAATATAAAATATATATTAAGCAAGTTCAGATGAACCCTATTTCCCATTCCAGGTCTTCATTATTGATCAGGTGTCAAAAGTGTCAATTCTCTTTGGCAAGAAACAGGATAAAAATGTTAGGCTGGTAGGCCACAGACATGTTAGACACACAGTGTGGGCATACAACATAGAATAGAGCCGAGCCTGATTCAGACTTTTGCAGAATGTTTTGCAGAATGTTAAATCTTGGGTTACCTACTTAGAGCTGTCAAGTTTTCTAACCCATCAGAATTTCAGTTTCCTCATTTATAAGATGAGGCTAACAATATGTACCTCATTGGGTTGCTGTGATGTCATGATATAATATGGTGGAGTTTAACACATGGCCTGAAACATAGCACTCATATAGTACTGCTGTGTCTGTTTCCCTGCCATCAGAGTGATATGGCACCGCTAACACCTCGCAGGAGCTTCATCTGACACAGTTCTCCGTCGGCATCATCGTCTTGTTTACAGAAAGAGAGTTGGGCCAATATCAGAGTAGGGGCTAGATTATTCTTATTTATATAATTGAAGAAGGAATCTTTTTCATTCCTAGAACTTGAATAATTCCAGTTTCTTTTCAGTGTTTTTGGTGTTTCATTTTAAGTGCACAATGATTAAGCTGATTATACTCTTGGTCAATGTAAGAGGAAACCAGGACCCTGCTGTGTTTATCAAAACCCAGAGGTAGTTAGTATATGAAAAGCAAATCTTTCTTCTATGGAAGTTCATGTCTGTATCTACCTCCCAGTAAATTCAGATTATGCCTGTGAGAGATCAAAACATAATGGATTTAAATATTAGAGATTTATATATATTACAGCCATGGAAGAGTGAGATGCTAACATAGAAAATACGTTGCATTATTTACATTAAAGCAAAAGTTCTCTCTGATGAGCCCGTCTCTCAGACTCTCAAGGGTTATTGATGACCACACATAATTACTATATGAAGTTTGTAGCCCTGATTGAAAATAAAAACCTTTGATCAAGACTTTTGCATTTCTAAAATACTACTTTCCAAACTTATCCAACTAGTAATCTTCAAAATCTATCCAGTGTAGAAGATTTTGTTGATACTTAACATGTCAGGATATGAAAAGAAACAAGGCTTAACTCTCTAAAAGTTCCTCTGTGCTGGGTTCTGGTCATGGAAAGGCTACCCCCAATCCTCAAGGCTCCAAATGGAATCATCAAGAAGTCAGAAAACATGAAGAAAAAAATGAAGCTGGAGTGTATCTCAGAATATTAGAATTTCTGTTGTGTATAAAATATCCTCCTACTTTGAAACCAGTACCTTGGATATGAATTAATTTACATTATTTATGTAGTTATATAAATTATATAATGTAAATAATTATATAAATCACCATTTATTGAGAAAAAAGATATTTACTGAGAACTGAACAACATCAAGTATAAGATGTACATGTGAAAAACAAGAGGGAAGAATTATCTGTGTGTGCCTGCCCTGAATTGGTCCAATTTTTGCCATGTAGGAATCCCCTGTGTTCCTAATCTATATAAATACGAAAGGGGCAGCACTACAACTCCCAACTCAGCAGCATCCGCAGGAATGCTGGGCAGTGACTGGAGAAGCAAGGGTAGAGCAGTAGGCCTATGACTGGAGCTCACGAATGTTACTAGAGAATGCCTGGATTCACATTCTCCATCACCTGGGGAACTGCATTCCAGCTCGCCTCAGGTTCACTATAGTTTTATCTATGGCCTGGTAGTATAACAAGCATAATAACAAGTGTAATAACAAGCAGCTCCTTGTTCTAAGCCGTCTCTCCTGCTGAGTCTCTTGTATGTTTTACATGTTTTTTTTTTTTTCTGTTTAGGTGATCACTTATCTGTAGCACAGCCATATCCACACAGTCTCGCAGACTTAAACACTCAATCTTTTCATCCAGCAGAAGCTGAATTGCAGGTTATAGATTCAATATTAGCATGTCTGCTTTCTTCATGGAAGATTGTTGTTTTATTTTTCTAGGGCCCTTTCACAAGATGATCAAGATGACATCCACTTAAAATTAGAGGACATAATTCAAATGGTAAGTTCACCTTCCATTTTACCTAACACAATTATCTGCATAATATCTTTCAAAGGGAAGTAGGAAGCTTGTCACTGGTGACCTTACATCTGCCTATGAAGTGATATGAGCGAACCACAGTTGGCATGGAAGTCCAGCAGTTAGTCAGTGATATTAATGTTGGTTTTGATTTGTGTTTAACTTTCTGCATTTTCATTCTTAGCTAGAATCTAGTGACAGACTTCGTAGTTGTACAGATGGCAGCTCCACAGGCCTGCCACGAGAGGGGAGGTGTCTTGCTCCCAGATGGCGTTTTACTTCCTTCCTCGTCTCTTGCAGACTGACTGTCCAAAGGCCGAATGTTTTGAGACTTTATCAGCCATGGAGATGGCTGAGCAGATCACTCTCCTGGATCACATTGTTTTCAGAAGCATTCCCTACGAGTAAGTGCTGCCTTGTCTCACCCCACCCCCACCCCCATCCAGGAACAGGACTCTGTTAGAGTAGCTGCCCTGCTTACAAGCTGACCATATTCCTAAGTCTGGGGTGTGTGTGTGTGTGTGTGTGTGTGTGTGTGTGTGTGTGTGTGTGTGTGTGTGTGTGTGTGTGTGTGTGTGTGTGCTCACTTATGCACAGAAATATGAGTCCTAATCTCAGGATGATTTGACCCCATTTGAATGTTGTTGGTTCCAGGTTGAGTAATGGATATTCAATCTCAAGATGGTCAGTCTTGTTTTCTATATGTACTAGGATTACCATAGAATATAAATTTCTATGTTCCATCTTATCCTTGAATTATAGAGTTCTCAGTGCACCTGTTAGAGTGGTTCTCAAACTTCAGTGTGTCTAACAGTTACAGGAGGGAGAATGATAGCAAGGATGACACTTATCAGGATGAATTGTACACATAAACGGACATGTTAAATAAAAACCCATTTGTGCAGATATATGAAGATAATAATAATATAAAGAAACAAAGCTGGGCTGGGAAGGTGGCTCAGTGGTAGAGCACTTGCCTTGCATGCCTGAGGCCCTGGGTTCGATTCCTCAGCACTACATAAGCAATAATGAAAAAAGCCGGAAGTGGCGCTATGGCTCAAGTGGTAGAGCGCCAGCCTTGAGCTGAAGAGCTGAGGGACAGCGCCCAGGCCCAGAGTTCAGGCCCCACAACCGGACCCAAAAAACAAAAAAGAAAGAAAGAAAAAGAAACAAAGCTGCTGGGCACTGATGGCTCAGGCCTGTAATCCTAGCTACTCAGGATCCTAGCTGAGGATCACAGTTTGAAGCCAGCCCAGGAGGAAAGTCCATGAGACTCTTATCTCCAATTAACCAACAAAAAGCCAGAAAACCAGAAGTGGTGCTATGGCTCAAAGTGATAGAGTGCTAGCCTTGAGCAGAAAAAGCTCAGGCTAGTGCGCAGGCCCTGAATTCAAGTCCCATGACCAAAAAAGAAGAAAAAAAAAAGCCATTTGAGAAACTTGTGAATAATGCACATTTAAAATTCTGCTTCTAGAAATTTTGATTGAAGCTCAGGAAATTATTTTGAATAAAAAACTACAGATAATTTTGAGTATCCCAAGGATACACTTAGAGAAAGTGATTTTGCTATAAATTCTGTTAACATTTATTTCCATAAATCAATAAGCATCAGTAAGATTTATGGCAGTAGACCCCCCCCCCCGGCCTTCCCTGATCCTTAGGTGTAGGAGAGGCCTGGGAAGCCTCCTACTGTCACACTGACAACTTTGTAGGCAGATGTTTGTTAGGATAAATGATGACCGATAGTACTCATCCCCTGTAAACTCATAACCACAGTGACAGTAGTGAAAGGGCTAGACAAAAAGTGAGAATGTGATCTGGATCAGGTTGTAAGTGGAGAAGAGGACATGGCTCTGATGGAGTGTTGGTGACACAGGGAGGGTGGGTTAGTGGGTCTGACCAATAGCTGTATTGCTTAGGCTCAAAAGGGAAAGGAAGTATGTTCCCTCAGATTTTCCTTCTGTACGTTTTATCTTCTTTGCTTCGCACCTTGCCAGCATCCACCCACCTATCCATTAAACTCATTGGCAATTCATCTGAACTCAGTAACATGGAGCCTCTATGACATGTATGCCACTACCTTCTCCCTGTGGTACCCTCCCGTGCATGGAGGGGGTCGTGAGTTCATACAGGAAGAACAAGAGCCAAGTGAGACTCTTGGTCGCCATTGGTGTGGTCTCTTCTGGGTCTCTTCCAGTTATTGCACCTTGGACCTGCTTTACTTGTGTCTGACCCTGCAGGAGAGAAGCAGAACCAACCACCCCATGAGACGGAGAGCAAGACCCAGGCAACATGTTTTACTAAAGAAAGTGACAGAGTAATTCCATTGCAAGTTTAGGGGATATTTTAAAAGGACTCTACAGTTCCTGCACATTCCATCTTGCTGGGCCTTTGCCTGCCGTGGTGTGATGTGAGGACCTGAGCAGCCTCCCCACAGCTGAGATCTCTCTGCTCTTGGAACCTGGATATTCCTGAGAAAATCAGAAAGAAGTAGAAGGGAATTTTCTGGTCCTGATTAACATTTTTGGCAATAACAGATTGTGTTTTGGACCCTCCACTAAAACTTGCTATTTCAAAAGTTAGTCCAGGGAAAATAGCCTTGGTTTCTGAGTTAATATTTACTTTTTTATTTCTCTTATTTTGGTGTTTTCCAACTTCAGAGAAGCCTACGTAGGGACAAAGTTCCAAACACTTACAAGAAAAATCTGGAGGCTGAAATATATTTTTTTTTGCATTGACTTTTTTGCATTGAAACTAGAGCAGAGCTAAAAATCCCTTTGAGACAGTCAGCCAAAGGTGTCAGGTAATGTTCCAGGCAAGATTAATTTAGTGTACCTGATATTCATGATAACTATGCAGACTCATAGCCATCATTCCTTAAATACTTATTTGATGTCCTGTTTTATATTGAACTTTCAGAGAGTTTCTTGGGCAGGGGTGGATGAAGCTGGATAAAAATGAAAGAACACCTTACATTATGAAAACCAGCCAACACTTTAATGATGTGAGTATCCACACACGTGTTCTCTCTTCTTCTGCAGCTAAGTGTTTTCTGGTTTAATAACCAACCAGTTCAGAATTTGCTTTGACGTGGAGCAAGCATTTTTCTTGCCCTATAATAACGGAGACATTCCTCAATGAGTACTTACACAGTGTTGGGGGCCAATGAGGGTGGGTTTTCAAAGAGTTACACCATGACCCCCAAACATTGCCTTTCCTCCTTGAATTGTTCTATCTCTTACTTCCTTATAACAAAAATCACATTGCTTCACAATAAGCTGCATTCAGAGAAAATCTGTCTTCACTCTAAAGATGAACAACTGCTCAGGAGTTTGTTGTTATTATTATTTCAGACTTCAGTCTCTTTAGAAAGTTGTTATCTAAGGATGGAATGTTAATTCCATGCTCCTTTGACATTCTGCTCTTCTGATGTCTGCAGGCATATTCAGATATGTTGCCCAAATACATTGCTTTGGCTCTTTGACAGTCTTCCTGGTCTCTTTCCCTTTAATGATATCTTTATTATCTTTAGGTAGTTGTACAAAGAATTTCCCATCCAGTGAATCAGTTTATAAGTACAATGTATCTTGGTCAATTTCTCCCTTTTCATCATTCTTTCCCATTCTTCATCTTTTGGGTTTTCTTAGATGAGTAACCTGGTTGCCTCCCAGATAATGAATTATGCAGATGTCAGCTCCCGTGCCAACGCCATTGAGAAGTGGGTGGCGGTAGCAGACATATGCAGATGCCTGCACAACTACAATGGTGTGCTCGAGATCACCTCGGCCTTAAACAGAAGTGCCATCTACAGGCTGAAGAAAACCTGGGCCAAGGTGTCCAAGCAGGTGAGCATCAGTGTATGACACGTCCTGCTTCTCAGAGGAAGAGAGGCTGGGTGAGGAGAAACAAGATAAATATTCTAATTAAACAATCATTAGCTGAAACAAGCAAAGTAGTTGCCAGAGAAGGTGCCAACATGGGTAATTGCTGTGCTCTTACCACTTAATTAATTCCACTCATGTGCTTTTCCAAAACACTCATTGAAACATTTGGGGGGACAAGCTCAAATGATGTGGCTGTCGATCAAGAGTTTTTCCTGAATTATTTCAGGAGGGCACATTGATTCCAGGTGACTCACAGATCCATTCTTCCAATCCCAAAATATGGTTACAAATGCCATAGAGTCCTCAGAGTTCAGCCTGATCCTTTTCGTTCATGTAGCAGATGTCAAGTTCTGGTGTAATGACTCAGATTGCAGACATGTAGCTTTCTCAATTTTCTCTCCTTGGATTCATTTGACCCCTGCCTGTTACTTTCATTCAGATAATTTTAAGAACTGTAGCTTTTACTTGCAAAGTCCAAACTTTGTTGGTAATGAAAGAACTTATGAGTTCCATTGGGCCAAATGTGACCTCTCTAAGCTCTGCATATTCTCTAAGAAATGAGAAGGAGTGGGATGAAGGCTCTGACTGTGCTTATATATTATAGATAGATAGATAGATAGATAGATAGATAGATAGATAGATAGATAGATAGATAGATAAGGTAATATAACATATATATGACATATATGATTTTGTATATGCACATACATATACACATATCTCTTTCTTATGGTTTAGATCCCTAGTGGTGGGTACCCTGCAGATAGATGCCTCTGACAGACTTTGGCGGGCATACCAATAGGCAGAGTGGAGTAGCGTGTAGGAGAAGGCTGTATTGTGTGTGCCTGACAACGTCAGCATAGAAGGACTTCCCAAGTAGCTAGGATTGGAAACTTGAGCCGCCACACCCAGAGAACAATGGTATTTCCTAAAAATATCGCTTATACTTGTCTATCAAATTGGTGAGAATGCTCACAAAAGAAAGTATTTAGAGTAGAGGATATTTCTCAGTCAACAACAAACTGACCAAATATATGGTTTGATAGTTTGCAGATTAGTATTCACAAAGACTCACTGTAGCTTGGGGGTGTGGCTTGGTGCTATAGTGGTTGTCTAGCATGTACAAGGCCCTAGGGTCCCCAAGAGAGAAAGGCAAAGACAGAATGAGAGAGAGAGAGAGAGAGAGAGAGAGAGAGAGAGAGAGAGAGAGAGAGAGAGAGAGAGAGAACAACAGAAAGGTAGCTATATAGAGACAGAGAGACTCAGAGAGAGGGGAAGGGAGACCAGGATTCATTCTGAAAACTTTAACATAAGCTCTTTCCTTTAAGATGTTATATTCAACTGGCACTTTTCAGTTCTTTAATTTTCTTGCCATTTTTTTTCTATTTGTTTTCCCACTATGTATTTGAATGCAAGGATGTAGGCACTTCCTCTTCTCCACACGCTCTTTTATTCTAAAATTATTAAGTGTAAACATAATATCCTATTGTGAGGGGCTGGGAAGGTGGCTCAGTGGTAGAGTGCTTGCCTTGCATGCATGAGGCCCTAGGTTCGATCTCTCAGCACCACATAAGGCAAAAAGAAAAAAAGCCAGAAGTGGCTCAAGTGGTAGAGCATTAGCCTTGAACTGAAGAGCTGAGGAACAGCACCCAGGCCCAGAGTTCAGGCCCCACGACCGGACTCCCCTCTCCCCAAAAAAATCCTATTGTGAGGATTGTATCACACAGTGAGGACCTCTACAGTAAAGAGAATGGAGCATCTTTTCGCAACTTACTATCCAATCAAATCACAATTTCATGGTCTACTAAATTTTTGCTTTCTTTTTTAGACCAAAGCACTAATGGACAAACTTCAGAAGACTGTTTCATCTGAAGGAAGATTTAAAAACCTCAGAGAAACCCTTAAAAAGTATGTATCACTTAAGCATTAAGTTATGCATAATTTTAGGAATAATGATATATAATTTATATAGTATATCAAACTTCCTGCCTTCATTGCCAGGGAAAAAGTAAGAAAAAAATTTCATCTCAGTGTTTTTGAATTTTCTTTGTCACTTGGAATATTGTGCATGCAGGATACTCCAAATAAAATGAAAATATGTCCATAATAAGTCAAATCACTGCTTAGTATAAAAGCTAATTTAAGCACAGGGATTTACTGTGGGATTTTAAAAATTGAAAGACCCAAGCACCAGCTGATAATGAATATTTGCTTTTTGCTTTTTCACTTCTGAGTCATGCTCTCCTCCTGCTTGCACATGTGTGCGCATATTCTACCACACACACCCACTTCATAGAGCCTATTGTCTTACAACTAGTTTTTCTCATGATTTATGTGCTTGTTACTTTGCTTATCTCCACGGTAAAAGGCCTGACAGAAACAGCTGCTTAAGGGGAGAAGGATTTATTTTGTCTTATGGTTTCAGTCTCTTCATTCCAGGCTGGTTGGCTCCATGCAGTCAGGCAGAAAGGATCCCATGGTGGTGAGAGTATGCAGAAGGGGAGGTTGTTCACCTCATGGCAGACAGGAAGCAGAGGTAAACGAGGAGATACTGCTAGGGATAAGCTTCAGGGGCTCCATCCTGTGATCTACTTCCCCAGCTAAGTTCCACTTCCTAAAGTTTCCAGAACCTCCCAACAAGAATTCAACACAAGAGCCTTGGGGTGGAGTGTTTCATATTCAAACCATAGCTCTACAATATGAAATGAACTTACACTTGAGAAACAATAGTGTTGTGAGGGCATAAATGAAAAATCAACAATAATAATCATCATAGCAGAAACAACACATAGAATAATATTATTATTGTTATTATTATATGTGGCATAGCATAAACTATTTGCTGAATAATTGCCAAATGAAGGCTCCATGCTAGGTGTTTTCTGTGTCTTATTCAAGCCTCACCGCAAATTAAAGATATAAAATGTCCTGTCCATCTTACACATGAGAAATCTGAAATTCAAACCTTTTGCATAGTATCATTGAGCAGCTGGTAAAGTTGGGATCGAAGCCTATATCCAAGTATACTCCTTCCCCTCTACAAACAAAACAAAAATATCTCTCCCTTTAGTGTGTGCTTGTGATACTAGTTGAGTCTACATTTCCCAAACATTTTAGCTCTAACTAAAATAGAAAACAAGTCTAGGATGTGGAAAGCTAGTCACACTGATTTTTTAATATCTAGATCTTGAGGGTTGGGTGCATTTTAGTGGGGTGCTTCCCCTAAGAAGCGTGCCATTTTGTAAGAATCACAAGTAATTCCATGCTAGCAATTATTTGTATTTGTCTCTCAGACATCCTGTTTTTTTGGAGCATGCCATTGCATCAAAATCATAGTGAAGCATGGGCTTTAATTTTGTATTGTATTCTATTGCGAAATATATTTAAACTCTTATCATGAGCAAGCGCCTGAAGATAAAATAAGACATCTTTGTTCTTCTGGGCTGAAGCACCATTGCTTCCTGCTCAGAACGGGGAATGAAATAGACCTTTGTGTGAATGAGTCTAAGAAAAATGTTTCTTGGTCTTGCAGCTGCAACCCTCCAGCTGTTCCTTATCTTGGAATGTACTTGACAGACTTGGCATTTATTGAAGAAGGAACACCAAACTTTACTGAAGAAGGCTTAGTCAATTTTTCCAAAATGAGAATGGTAGGTAACAATTTTATAATTTCATAAAGTCAATGACTTTATGGCTTATAGAAAAGAGGCTTAATAGTGAAATCAGTGTTTGCTTCTTAAATTGGAGGTGGGAGGTGTGGGGAATGACAGGAACTGGGTCTAATACCTGCTGTTGGTGGAACAAGGAGATTTCTGCTGTTGGTTGAACAAGGGAGTAGAGATTAAAGTTCCAAAGATGTCTTTCTAAGACTGACCCATAGGAGACGGATGCCAGGCTGGTGGTTCTTTCTTCCCCTCCTTCTCCTCCCCCTTCTTCTGTTGGTGCCTATTTTGGGGCTTGCAAAGGGCCTGGGAACTATCCCTGAGATTCTCTTGCTCAAGACTAGCGTTCTAACAACTGAGTCACAGTTCCACTTCTGGCTTTTTTGGAAGTTTATTGGAGATAAGAGTCTCAGAGACTTTCCTGCTCAAGCTGGCATCAAAGGTTCTTGATGGGTAACCAGGTTTTTAGCACCAACCTAGAAGGAAAGGAGACAATGAACAACAGCCAGAATGTGCTTCTTCCAAATCTGAGGTGCCACTTGCTCACCCTGGTTAGCAATTTAGAATCCTCTTCTTCTTCTTCTTCTTCTTCTTCTTCTTCCTCCTCCTCCTCCTCCTCCTCCTCCTCCTCCTCCTCCTCCTCCGCCTCCTCCTCCTCCTCCGCCTCCTCCTCCTCCTCCGCCTCCTCCTCCTCCTCCTTCTTCCTCTCCTTCTCCTTCTGTCCTCCTCCTCCTCCTCCTCCTCCTCCTCCTCCTCCTCCTCCTCCTCCTCCTCCTCCTCCTCCTCCTCCTCCTCCTCCTCCTCCTCCTCCTCCTCCTCCGCCTCCTCCTCCTTCTCCTCCTTCTTCCTCTCCTTCTCCTTCTGTCTGTGTAGGAGCTTGAACTTGGGGCCTGGGTGCTCTCCCTGAGGACTTTTTGCACAAGGCTAGCACTCTACCACTTGAGCCACATCACCGCTTTTGTTTTTCTAGTGGTTAATTTGATATGAGTCTAATAAACTTTCCTGCATGGGCTGGCTTTGAACTACAACCCTCACATCTTAGCTTCTTGAGTAGCTAGGATTATAGGCCTGAGCTACCAGTGCCTGGCTAGTATCTTAATATTAGCACTTAACCTGGCTCTTGAAGGTTATAAAAGCACCAAGCATAGAAAATGATTGTCAGGAATTGGGAAGGTAGCTTAGTGGTAGAGTGCTTGCCTTCCATGCATGAGGCCCTAGGTTCGATTCTGCAACGCCACATAAGCCAAAAAAGCCAGAAGTGGTGCTGTGGCTCAAGTGGTAGAACGCTACCCTTGAACTGAAGAGCTGAGGGACAGCGCCCAGGCCCAGAGTTCAGGCCCCACAACTGACAAAAAAGAAAAAAGAAAATGATCTGCCAGGCTCAGGGAGGAAGTGACTTCCCATGCTTCTGGTGAAAGAAAACACTGAGAAGCTGCCCCAAAAGAATGTACTATGATTTGGAAAAATACCTTTGCTTTGCTTTGTTGCTGTTTTTCTCATTATTAGATATCACACATTATCCGGGAGATACGCCAGTTCCAGCAGACTTCCTACCGCATAGACCATCAGCCAAAGGTAATATTGTGATATTGTGTGGTTGTGGTGAAAATTAAAATTAAAAAATGAAATTAATGAATTACAAAGTAAAAATAGACTTGGTTAAAAGTACAAAAAATGGACTCAGAAAACCTGTAACAGGTCTGCTCAAGAAAAAAGCAGGAAGACCTAAGGAATACCAGCTCATCATGTAGTTCTGTTGATATTGTGTCCTCTATTTCTTCTGAATCTTCTCACTTCCAGCCCAGGTCAGGCACTGGGATGCAATACCCGGTCTACAATCACATCTGGATAGAATTCTGATATAGTCTGTATATTATGACCCCACCCTTTGTGCCAAAGTTTTCTGTTGCTCTTAGGATTAAAAAAAAAGAAAGAAAGAAAAAAGAAACATCTTGACATGGCAAAGAAGAGTACAGGATATGGTTACTATTGGTGTTTTAAAATTTATTTACATCATATAACCCCTTACTCTTGTAGTGCCAACCACAACTAGTCATTAACTAATTAAGTAAATGTGTTACTGGTGTTTGAACTGAAGGCCTCGCATTTTTCACAGGCACTCTACCATTTGAACTGTGTCCTCAGCCCTTTCTTTTCTTGCTTTAGCTATATCAGGCATGATACTGATTTTTTAAATCTCTTGCCCATATTGGGCAGCAGTGTAATCCTTCTACTTGTGCTTCCAATTTAGCTGGGATGACAGGTGCAAGTCACCATACCCAGCTTTTTTTGTTGTTGAAATGAAGGCTTTCTAACTTTTGCCTGGACTGGCCTCCCACTGTAATCCTCCCAATCTCTGCTTTCTGGATAGCTGGGGTTATAGGTATGAGCCACTGTACCTGGCTCTCCTTAAATCATTGCAGTCACAGCTCCAATCCTGACTTGTTGCTGGTTGTTTGCCTTACAGACTTGTGTATCCAGGTTGGCTTTGAAGTGTGATCCTCAAATCTCACCCTCCTATGTAGCTAGGATTACAGGCATGAGCCACTAGTGCTTGGCTAAAGTACTACTTTTAAAGAACAGTTTCACAGTCTTAAAAAAATCAAGATTAGAAGTTAGAGATTCTCATCTCCCAGTCAAGTACGGTGTATTTACTTATTTAATGAATCATGGCTTGATGAATCATGAAACATGGTTGTATACAGCTCTTTGCAACCCTATGGACTAACATAGGAGCTTTCTTTAACTTTCAATTAAGAAAGGCAAGAAAAGATGGGACAGTCTTATCCCAGATAGCTCTACAGAAAAAAAAAAGATTACTAGGTAATATCTTCAAAAACACACATGGGAGAATGCACACCAAATGGTAAGGGCTAGCTGGCACTGGAGGTTGGCTGAGGACTAGAGATCTTTGAGTATTGTTTATAACAATGAGAATATAGTCATTTTTCTTAATTTATATATATATATATATATATATATATATATGATGTTGAATTATGTCAAACCCACTCAGGAACAGTATATGCCAATGTTCTCAAAGAAGTACAAGTAGGGATTTCTGTGTGTCTTTTTTTCCCCTTTAGGTCACACAGTACTTGCTGGACAAAGCTCTCATCATAGATGAAGATACACTCTATGAACTGTCACTAAAAATTGAACCTCGGCTCCCTGCTTGAACATCTGGCCTTGCCCCTGAGACCATAGCATTTGCTTGGGAAGCAGGACAGACAGAATTGTGCATGCCCTGTCTAACAGGCACAGCGAGGATTGGGGGGAGGTGAAGCCCATCTTCCTCCTCCACTACAGATGGAACTGGACTTCAATTCTGTCTCCAGCCAGAGTCAAACCCAGCTGTGTGGGTCAAAGGCAGATGTTTCAGCCTTGGGTGGGAAGGTACAGAGACCAATGCTTAGTATATTTTTCCTAAGGGAAGGTAAGATGGGAAATGCTGGTAACCATTTCAGTGAAGCGGGTGTGAAGGTAAATCTCTCTCTGTCCCCTGTTCTGTTAGAACTCAGGGACAAAGACCCACAAATAGATTTGTGATGTTTCACTGGCATCTACTGGCTGGGCCACACCTGCCCAATCTTCCGCTGGGATGTAACTGTTTCCTCTATACTTCCTTTCATCCCAAGCTTCACAAAAAGCTGAAGCTTCCTCGAGAAGGCCAATACATAAGCAATTTCAGTCTACGGCATGTGCATGGTTCCAAATGCATCATAAATATTCAGACTTTAGGAAACAGGAAAGGAAATCATAGAAGACAAATGGATTTGTTGGTAACATTTACTTAATTAACAACAATAAGCTGTATCCCAGAAGCCATTGTAGGGTGGCAATGGAGGCTTCTTCCCGAGACTGGTGGTCCCAGGAAGCCAGCCCCTGAAAGAGGCAATGGCAGAGTTTTCAGAAGGGTGCATGACACCTCACCGACAAAACTGTGCAAGATAGAAGGCCAAAAGCACTATGGGGAGTGACGGGTGTCCTTGCTAAGTAAAGCTATATACCTGAAATCATCTTTGCACTTTGTTTTCTTTTCTCCTACAGGAATCTTTTGTGACATACACAAACCATTTTTTAAGGCTTACTATGAACATGGATTGTGGTTTTTTTTGGAAACTGTTGTGTGGCATTTTCCTTGTAAAACCCATACTTCCATGTGCTACAGGTAGACAATCTTCCTCAGCCATCTCTTTAAGAACTATTTGAGTGAGAACAATGGAAGTTGGTGGGAAATGGGACCAACCACCCAATAGTTCTTGTAGCAGAAAACCAAATGCAGGAATGTGTCCTACTTCCCAAGGTTGGGGAAATGATCATTTTCTCCAAGATTGTCAGGCATAGAAGAAATAGGGCTCTCTCATTGTGTACCTCCCTCCTCTCTTCTCAGGGAGACAGCTGCTTTAAAGGAAGGAAGAGATGACAATTTGGAATCATTATTACCTGAGCCTATTGCACCTGACATTTTCTCTTAAGAGGCATGAAGCTTGCTGTTGATGGCAATGAAAAATGGACCTGTCTGGCTGCTTTCTCTCTTTGCACTTTTAGTTTGTGGTAGAGACCTCAGCTGATTAATACATTTGGCTTGCTTGCTCTTCAGATCCAGTTGGAGAGCTAGCATGGATAATGTACCATAGAACTAGAGAGGGCACACTTGGTCTGCACAGTGAGGTCCATCTCTGTATATAACCACATAGTGAAATATTAACTAAGTAAAAGATATTTATAATATCTAAAGACCAAAATATTTTCCATAGTTCATATTAGCCAACAGTGTAGCACTAGGCCCAAGGGAGGGAGGTTACTTATGGATGCTTTATTTTTCTTCTTTTGCTTAAAAAAGTTGCTTGTTTGGCTTCTTTAGTTTCTAATAAGAAGTTGATGTATCTTGACGCATGCTAAGAAGCATGTTGGAGTTTAACAGTTTCTGCTTTTTAACATATTTTATTCAGTGTTGAGAATCTGAGAGTTTGAAATAATGTGTTTCCATTGCACTGAACACCTCAAGACCTTGCAGAAGATATGTAAAATAAAGGTTAGCTTTGGGGGCTCACAACTGCAGTCTAGGAAGGTGACCTAAAATTGGGACCAATTTATGAGAGGACCACACACACACTAGTTCCAGCAAAACCAGTGTATAAAATGTGGATGATTTCTATGCTGCTTTGGAGTCCCAACATCCTCCAAAAGGGATGGCTCTGTGTGCACTTTGTTTGGAAGAATGGACTCTTTATTTCTCTGACCCACATGCTCCAAAGGCACGGCTGAAACTAAGAAACAGAGGAATTTCAAATGCCCCTCCACCTCAGGAATGTAGTTTTTCTTCATGGAGTCAGTCTCAACCTATTTCCTATCGAATGTTGGAAGCGCCACCATGTGGTAGGCTATGAGCACTGCAAATTGCTATCCTGATTTTAATATTTTATTCCTAAATGTCCCTCCAACTTCCTAGAGTTGAAGACAAACGACTCCACCTTTGGAGTTACCCTCTGATTGCTACACCATTTGTGGGCTAGCAGAGGTAGGAATGCGCATCTAAAAAGGCAGAGGGGAGAAAAGGAAAGAAGGAAGGAAGGAAGGAAGGAAGGAAGGAAGGAAGGAAGGAAGGAAGGAAGGAAGGAAGGAAGGAGCGAGGAAGGGAGGGAGAGAGGGAGGGAAGGAAGGAGGAAAGGAAGGAAGGAGGAAAAGAAGGAAGGAAGGAAGGAAGGAAGGAAGGAAGGAAGGAAGGAAGGAAGGAAGGAAGGAAGGAAGGAAGGAGAGAGGAAGGGAGGAAAAGTCATATCTGGACACATTTAAAATCCCCCAGAGAAATTTTTGTGGTATATCTTCTGATTTATAAAGTCCTATCCACTTCTCCTTTCAAACTTTGAATTTTGGCAAATGATGTGTGCCCTCCCAGCTAAATCTGTTTGAATTCTATTATTATAGGAGACCCATTTCTAAGAGTAGACAGGAAGCCAATTTTAGCAGCCAAGTAGTGAAAATATATATATATATATACTTTGAAATTAACCCTGAAAAATCAGAAGTAAAACCCAATTTTATGCTTTGAAATGAATACTCATATTTTGTACTTTCACTGGAATTGAAGCTTTTAGGGTATGCCAATGGTTATTAACTAAGACATCAAATTTTGCTACAGGGACAAATCTCTTACCTAACCCAACCTACTACTTGACAGATTTAGGCATGCAGTGGAATGTTGTCATTCTTCTTTAATGTTTCTCTGAGGGAATTTAAACAGGGAATTTTAAACTGCTAGTGCAATATTTTGAAGTTCTGACACAACACCCCCATGGCATTATGTTAAATTTCAATGTACCCTAAAGTACTATAAACAAATGAAGCTCATGAACACTGGACAACTTAAAGGAGAAAAATTCACCATGTTCCCATTTGGAATGTGTAAGGATGGGCCTGCTCTCCTTTTCTTCTCTTCATATTTTTATTTGACTGACTAGGAATCTTTAACTAGAAGAGAATAATGTAATAAAGAAAATATTCCTAATAAAATTAACTTTATTTTTCTTTACAGTGCTAGGGATCAAACCCAGGGCCTGGTGAATGCTGGGCAAGTACTCTACCAATGAGTGACATTGAGCCTCCCAGTAAAGTTAACTTTCATTTAAATATAGAGGATTCTACTTAGCTGTTCTTTTCAAAGTTTGATTTTATTTTCCCTGAAAAACAATTTCTCCCTTCATCTTAAAGTGTAATGTGTTTTTTAAATCCAACATGCAAAATCTATCATTTTGATTACTATTGAAGTGACATAAATGATAATATCCTATTTATGCTCATGTTAATCTTCACAGCTAGAAGGAATTAAGGAACGAGATTCATTTTCATTTCTGTAAGAAAAAAGACTGCAAGCTTAAATAATGACTTGATTACAAACACCACTATATGACTGCTAATAAGACTTGATTGATGAAATCTAATCAGTGTTATTTCTCAGTGGTGATTTCTTTTTATTTATTTCATTTTGTTTTGTTTTTGTGGGGGGATTTTGTTTATTATCTTTAAGTAGTTGTACAAAGGGATATCAGTTCAACATGTAAGTTTATTAGTATAATACATTTTGATTAATGTCACCCATTTTATCATTTTCCTCCACATCTCCTAATCCTACCCATCTCCTCAATTTTAAAATTAAGGCAGGACAGTCTAAAAGTGGGAAACCATCTTGTTGCAGTTATGAACACATGAATGATTCAGAAGCATTCTCATCTCATCTGTCACATAGCATGATATTAATATTAGAGCTGGTTGTAGAGATCTAATCTGTGAAGGAAAATTATAGTCATCTGTAATATTATTGGATCACTGTCTTAGTTTCAGTTTTCAGTTTTCATCAGTAAGCTGATTATATCAAGGCTGGAACAGGAATCTCTGCCCCAAGTCTTAGCTTTGATCGATATACATCCATCAGTTTCCTCATCTGCAAAATGGGATTAATAGTAATTCCTGTGCTGTCTACCTCACAGGGCTGTTGTGAGGATCAAATGGGTTAGACTGTAAAGTGTAACGTGCTGTCCAAATGGGAGGTAACCCAGTTACCATCCTCAGCTCTCCTTTTGTAGAGAAATTAAATGTATTTACTCTGTGTGTGTGTGTGTGTGTGTGTGAGAGAGAGAGAGAGAGAGAGAGAGAGAGAGAGAGAGAGAGAGAGAGAGAAATGTGTGTTACTTTGAGAAGTATATTGTTTGTATCCGGTGACTTTGCAAATTTGCTGACAGTTGTAATACTGATAAAGAGGTTTTCGTTGTGGCCTAACACTTACCGAGCGAGGTGTAGGTTATGCCTATATGCAAATTAAACTTCACCTTTCTTGAATACTTGGAAATCTCACTTCCTTTTATTTAGCAATTTCCCCATCTTTCTACATCATCTTCCTTCTTAACACTGAGCTCCTTCCATTATGCGTATATTTCTGAAGTTGAAGTGAAAAACAGCTTAGAAGCAGCCCAAGTTCCAGGCACTAAAATATCAGGAAAATAACTAAAGGAGGGGCCATCGAAGATATAACATCCCCTGACTACCACCAGGCATCGAGAACCCACTACTGCCTGGAACAGCTCAGCTGATCCCATGGCAGACAAGAGAAGTTGCCAACATGGTGAGGCCTGGCATGCCATCACTAGGGTTGACCTTGATGGGCTCCTGTAGACCTCTCGGGTTGTGTCCTCATCTGAGAAATAAGACTCACTTCTATACCCAGAATTACTACAGAGGTCACATGGAATAATATATACACAAACCCTTTATCTCTTGCCAACTAGAAGGTGATATCCTAACACTGAGAGCTGAAGGACACGGGACACACAAGAATAAACTGAGGAGGCCCCCTTACCCTCTTCACTTCTGTTACCAGTTACCATGAGCAACCAAGGCTGCTTGGCCACCTTGAAGAGCATTGACCTTCAATCTGGTTCAATCTGGGCCCTGATCTAGCCATGCTTCAGTGGGATGCAGGAATAGAAGGACAGCAGATTTTCTTTAAATCAAGTGGTATATCCCTATTGGCAAAAGTCAACCACATGGCCACACAGATGTGAGGTTGAAGGATGTGGACAACAATGAGAAATGAAAGGCACACACAGGAATGGTAACTGAAGAAGTTTTAGAAATCTAAAAAGTAGAGCCAAGGGCTTATGGCTCACACCTGTAATCCTAGCTACTCAAGAGGTTGAGATCTGAGGATCATGGTTTAAAGTCATCCCAGGCAGGAAAGTCCATGAGACTCTTCAATTAATCACCAGGGTTAAACCTGAAGTGGAGCTGTGGGTCAAAGTGGTAGAGCAAAATAGCTCAGGAATAGCGCCCAGGCCCTGAGTTCAAGCCCCATGGTTGATAATGATTTTTTTTAAAGGAGAAATCTGAAAAGTCTGCTGTAAGTGTGTTGTAGAGGTTTTCAATCCCCATCACAGCTGCTTTATAGCAAGCTTGAGAATGACAGCGTACTCTTTTCTAAAAAACGCTGCAACTTTTGACTCAAGGGAGAAATTTACACTGCAAAACACAAACTGTGGAGGTAAGGGGTGCGGACATATTCCTAAGTGCTCATATTAGGAATTAAGGGGAAGAAATAAAGAGGGATTTTTATTTTAACTGCCATTCTTTAAAAAAAAATACATACATTTCCATGCTCTCCTAATGACTCAAATTTTTCTAAGCAGCACACACACCACCACCACCACCACCACCTCCACCCCAACAGTAGAGTCCAAAGTCTTGAACAACCAACTCTTCTGCTTCCTCTAGGCTGTGCAGACAGAGCAGGGTCTCAGAAGCTGGGGACTGTGGTTCCTGATGACAGAATGCACAAATAAGAGCCCTTGAGTGTCATGAAGTCAGTTTGTCCCCAATCTGTGATTCTTTTAATGAAAATTATGATTTCCAGGCTTAAAAAAGAGCCTCGAAGATATCTGAGCATATCACATGTCACCTTCAGTGTGAGCTATGTCACTACAGAGTGAGACGAACACTATCTGAGGTATAAGCACACACACACAAAAGTGTCTGGATCTTAAATACATGGCTTCTAACCCTACTTAAACAAGAACCTTTCAGTGTCCAGAGCATCTCCTTGTGTTCTCTGTTCCATGAAGGTATTTTGGGGATGGGTTATGTTTAAAAGAACTAGAAATTCTGACGGAAAACCACACTAGGTAAAAATGTCATTCCTGACCCTTAACCTCCTGCTCCACCAGCCCCTCTGAGCCTGGCAAGGCCCTAAGAAAGGAGAAAGGAGTCAGGTGATGATGCTCAACGTGTCATAGGAGCGGGTACATGACTGTCACCAGAGCCTAGGCATGCTCTCTTGAAACATCAGGGCTGCTGTCCAAAATCCTGAAGGGTCATTGCTATTTACAGGCAACCTTTC